TCCAGGGCATCTCGGGGGACGCAGCAGGGTCTCCCCGGGGTACCCCCGGGGCCTGCCTGGGGTCTTTGCAGGGTGTCTCGCGGGATACAGCGAGGTTGCTCCGGAGCAGCTCCAGGTCCTGTCTGGGGTCCCTCCAGGGCATCTCGGGGGACGCAGCAGGGTCTCCCCGGGGTACCCCCGGGGCCTGCCTGGGGTCTTTGCAGGGTGTCTCGCGGGATACAGCGAGGTTGCTCCGGAGCAGCTCCAGGTCCTGTCTGGGGTCCCTCCAGGGCATCTCGGGGGACGCAGCAGGGTCTCCCCGGGGTACCCCCGGGGCCTGCCTGGGGTCTTTGCAGGGTGTCTCGCGGGATACAGCGAGGTTGCTCCGGAGCAGCTCCAGGTCCTGTCTGGGGTCCCTCCAGGGCATCTCGGGGGACGCAGCAGGGTCTCCCCGGGGTACCCCCGGGGCCTGCCTGGGGTCTTTGCAGGGTGTCTCGCGGGATACAGCGAGGTTGCTCCGGAGCAGCTCCAGGTCCTGTCTGGGGTCCCTCCAGGGCATCTCGGGGGACGCAGCAGGGTCTCCCCGGGGTACCCCCGGGGCCTGCCTGGGGTCTTTGCAGGGTGTCTCGCGGGATACAGCGAGGTTGCTCCGGAGCAGCTCCAGGTCCTGTCTGGGGTCCCTCCAGGGCATCTCGGGGGACGCAGCAGGGTCTCCCCGGGGTACCCCCGGGGCCTGCCTGGGGTCTTTGCAGGGTGTCTCGCGGGATACAGCGAGGTTGCTCCGGAGCAGCTCCAGGTCCTGTCTGGGGTCCCTCCAGGGCATCTCGGGGGACGCAGCAGGGTCTCCCCGGGGTACCCCCGGGGCCTGCCTGGGGTCTTTGCAGGGTGTCTCGCGGGATACAGCGAGGTTGCTCCGGAGCAGCTCCAGGTCCTGTCTGGGGTCCCTCCAGGGCATCTCGGGGGACGCAGCAGGGTCTCCCCGGGGTACCCCCGGGGCCTGCCTGGGGTCTTTGCAGGGTGTCTCGCGGGATACAGCGAGGTTGCTCCGGAGCAGCTCCAGGTCCTGTCTGGGGTCCCTCCAGGGCATCTCGGGGGACGCAGCAGGGTCTCCCCGGGGTACCCCCGGGGCCTGCCTGGGGTCTTTGCAGGGTGTCTCGCGGGATACAGCGAGGTTGCTCCGGAGCAGCTCCAGGTCCTGTCTGGGGTCCCTCCAGGGCATCTCGGGGGACGCAGCAGGGTCTCCCCGGGGTACCCCCGGGGCCTGCCTGGGGTCTTTGCAGGGTGTCTCGCGGGATACAGCGAGGTTGCTCCGGAGCAGCTCCAGGTCCTGTCTGGGGTCCCTCCAGGGCATCTCGGGGGACGCAGCAGGGTCTCCCCGGGGTACCCCCGGGGCCTGCCTGGGGTCTTTGCAGGGTGTCTCGCGGGATACAGCGAGGTTGCTCCGGAGCAGCTCCAGGTCCTGTCTGGGGTCCCTCCAGGGCATCTCGGGGGACGCAGCAGGGTCTCCCCGGGGTACCCCCGGGGCCTGCCTGGGGTCTTTGCAGGGTGTCTCGCGGGATACAGCGAGGTTGCTCCGGAGCAGCTCCAGGTCCTGTCTGGGGTCCCTCCAGGGCATCTCGGGGGACGCAGCAGGGTCTCCCCGGGGTACCCCCGGGGCCTGCCTGGGGTCTTTGCAGGGTGTCTCGCGGGATACAGCGAGGTTGCTCCGGAGCAGCTCCAGGTCCTGTCTGGGGTCCCTCCAGGGCATCTCGGGGGACGCAGCAGGGTCTCCCCGGGGTACCCCCGGGGCCTGCCTGGGGTCTTTGCAGGGTGTCTCGCGGGATACAGCGAGGTTGCTCCGGAGCAGCTCCAGGTCCTGTCTGGGGTCCCTCCAGGGCATCTCGGGGGACGCAGCAGGGTCTCCCCGGGGTACCCCCGGGGCCTGCCTGGGGTCTTTGCAGGGTGTCTCGCGGGATACAGCGAGGTTGCTCCGGAGCAGCTCCAGGTCCTGTCTGGGGTCCCTCCAGGGCATCTCGGGGGACGCAGCAGGGTCTCCCCGGGGTACCCCCGGGGCCTGCCTGGGGTCTTTGCAGGGTGTCTCGCGGGATACAGCGAGGTTGCTCCGGAGCAGCTCCAGGTCCTGTCTGGGGTCCCTCCAGGGCATCTCGGGGGACGCAGCAGGGTCTCCCCGGGGTACCCCCGGGGCCTGCCTGGGGTCTTTGCAGGGTGTCTCGCGGGATACAGCGAGGTTGCTCCGGAGCAGCTCCAGGTCCTGTCTGGGGTCCCTCCAGGGCATCTCGGGGGACGCAGCAGGGTCTCCCCGGGGTACCCCCGGGGCCTGCCTGGGGTCTTTGCAGGGTGTCTCGCGGGATACAGCGAGGTTGCTCCGGAGCAGCTCCAGGTCCTGTCTGGGGTCCCTCCAGGGCATCTCGGGGGACGCAGCAGGGTCTCCCCGGGGTACCCCCGGGGCCTGCCTGGGGTCTTTGCAGGGTGTCTCGCGGGATACAGCGAGGTTGCCAGCCCCCCCTCCAGTCCTATAAGCCTTCCTCCATCCCTCCCTCCACTCCTCCTCTGCTTTCCCCATCCCTCCCTCCATCCCTCCCTCCGCTCCTCTAAGCTTCCCTCCATCCCTCCTTTCCACTCCTCCTTTGCCTTCCCCATCCCTCCTTCCACTCCTCTAAGCCTTCCTCCATCCCTTCCTCCATCCCTCCCTCCACTCCTCCCCTGCCTTCCCCATCCCTCCCCCC